AGCCAATTGCCGAGTTGTTTTTTGTTTTTGTTTTTTTTTTTTTGTTCTAGAAAGGGAGCGACAAAATTCTTGACCCACCCCGGGCGACACCGTAGCTACGACGCTGCACACGATAAATACATGTTCTGATTTAATTGTACTATCAGAAAAATAACACGACGCATTAAAGTAAAAAGTCCCTGCCTGGAAATAATATACGACATTGAAAAAAAAAAAAAAACTTTTTAAAAACTTAATTAATTTTTTTTTTACTTTAAAAGGAAATGATCAGAATGAGAAGAGGCATTTAAAAAAAAATTAAAAAGCAACTATTTCTGAACCGTCTATTCCATAACTTCTGGCAAGTCAGGTGTGCGGTTTATAGTCTTGTAATTAGCTAAGTAATGTGGATTCATATCATCAGTGGCACTGTAGGGCTCTGGGTGGTTATTCATATCATCATCAGTGGCACCACAGCCCATGTAGGGCCATGGATGGCTATTCATATCATCATCAGTGGCACTGCAGCCCATGTAGGGCCCTGGATGGTTATTCATATCATCATCAGTGGCACTGCAGCCCATGCAGGGCCTTGTATGGTTATTCATATCATCATCAGTGGCACTACAGCCCATGTAGGGACCTGTATGGTTATTCATATCATCATCAGTGGCACTACAGACCATGTAAGGCCCTGGATGGTTATGGGATACATGAAAATAGAATTAGCCGAAAACTGTTCGAGAACTGCTCTATGTTGATTATGCGGTAGTGACCTTCAAATGCTATTTTGTACATGACAGCAGGAAGTTAAGACACCATTGACAAGGACCTGGGACATTATTGGATAAAAACATAGGGCATTAGCCACAAGGATATGATAGGACATCATTGAAAAGAACTTACGACATTATTGACAGTAACTTAGGACATTACTGACCATGATTTAGGAAATTATTGACCATAGTTTAGGGCATTATTAACGATAACATAGGATATTATTGACCATATATTGGGACATTAATGACAATGACTTAGGACATCATGATAATAACATAGGACATTATTGACTAATATAGAACATAACTGACGAGAACATAGGACCTTATTGCTCATTACTTAGGATATACATGACAATAACATAGGACGTTTGAGACAATATATGGTAACTGGAAAATAACGAAGGCTTATAGAAATATCGACGTTTTCATCCGGTAGAGCAGGGCTGCTGGTGGCTACATGGCTACTGGTGGCTATAGGGCTGCTGGTAGCTACGGGGCTGCTGGTTGCTACAGGGCTGCTGGTTGCTACAGGGCTGCTGGTGGCTACAGGGCTGCTGGTGGCTACAGGGCTGCTGGTGGCTTCAGGGCTGCTGGTGGCTACAGGGCTGCTGGTGGCTTCAGGGCTGCTGGTGGCTACAGGGATATTGGTGGCTACATGGCGGCTGGTGGCTTCAGTGCTGCTGGTGGCTACATGGCTGCTGGTGGCTTCAGGGCTGCTGGTGGCTATAAGGGCTGCTGGTGGCTACAGGGCCGCTGGTTGCCTTAATTTTAAGGCTGCTGGTGGCTACATGGCTGCTGGTGGCTTCAGGGCTGCTAGTGGCTATAAGGGTACTGGTGGCTACAGGGCTGCTGGTGGCTACATGGCTGCTGGTGGCTATAAGGCTAGTGGCTACTACAGGGCTACTGGTGGCTACAGCGCCACTGGTTGCCTTAATTTTAAGGCTGCTGGTGGGCTGCTGGTGTCTATCTCGTGTTTTTGTTATTTCAATCTGATAACAAGTGCATTACAGGATTAGGTCCGCGTGGTGCACTGTCACCTTCAATGAGTGTCGGCATAGGAAGAGCTGGGCTATTGTGTTTTATTAGGCGGCGTCTGCGATATGTAAAGATAATTTATCCCGTTAGAGGTGAGGTCTAAAGTTTTGGTTTACAATGTCTAAGACAAGCTGCAACTGATGAGAACAGTGATTGCCAAACTTTTAAATACAGAACACTATATGAATTATAAGAATTACAAGCCACGACGTCTGAAAGTGGATGTATTTGATTTATTTAAATGGGGTTTTTGTTACAAATCAGGCAACACACTTCCCATTCGGTCTAAGCACACCAAGTGTAAAAACACTAACTGGCTTGTTCCATGCAGGCAGCACTAATATATAAATACATATATATACGTTCTGTTTGTGAAAAAATTACAAGTTTCACTCTAATGTCAGAGGTGGATCCAGGAAACCACAAGGAAAGAACAACACACGAAAATAACCTGACTTCTCCTGAAATATGTTACTCATGACGATGCACACACACCGACCAGAAGGTTTTTTTTTTTGTTTTTGTTTTTTTTTAAACGTTCTGAGACACCCTCCCACCCCGCGAAATGCAAAAAACCGCGAATTAGGATTTATTTCTATTTTAAAGCTTAATAACCTTTCACACAACCTAGTTAACGTTCCCCACAATTTTATGAATATTTCCAACACTCTTATTAACACTGCCT